ATCTGGACCCTGGTCTCCTATAAATCTGGCCCTTAAATCCTGCTGTCCCATTACACCTAATGATTTACAGATCACCAGACTCTCTGGGCTTTTACACCCTTCCCTTGCCTGGGCTCTTCCATCTGTCTGGAATGTCCTCTCCATCCATCACTTCCATCTGGCTAACTCTTAACACAGCTCTCGCTCAGTGGTCGCTTCCTCTGGGAAGCCTTTCACAACCCTCAGACTGGGTGAAAGCCTCCTCTGGGCTTTTCCAGACCCCTGCATTCTCCATCAGAGGAGTCATTATGTTAATTGTATTTGCCATACATGTGTCCACCAGACTGTGAGCTCCTGAGAGACGGAAGCTAAAGCATTTGTTTCTCTGCTCCCAAAGCTCAGCATAGGGCCCAACACAGGAGATGCTCAACAAACATTTGCCAAACAAACACTTCACCACACTTACTTCTTTTGGGCCCTTGAGTATATCATGATACTGTCCACCACAAGTCTTTGCACCTGCTGTGGTTCCTAAAGCCTAGAACATTCCACCCTCCTCCCCTAATCCCTTCCATCCCCACCCCTCCCCACTCAAGCAACTCCTACTTTCATCTATTCAAAAAATATCTAATGCTACCATGTGCCAAGCACAATGTGACAAAGTAAAATGACAGAGTCCCTGTCCTCAGAGTTGAGAGACTAATGGGGAGGCATACATTAATTTATGCTGAAATCATGTTACGGCTAAGAAGGAAAACTACTGGGAGCTCTGAGGTAATATAAGAGAGAAGATCAAACTTAGTCTTAAGAATCCACTGAGGACTTCCCTATGTAAATGAAGTTTAAGCTGAGGCAAGGTGTCAAGTACATGTGATGTTCCAGAGGCCGAAACAAACATGGGACATTCAAGGAATTTAAGAAGCCGTGTGAGAGTATAGAGAGCAAAGAGAGCAGCATGAGATGAGGCCTGTGATGCCATACTGTGCAGCACCTTTATGAGTCACATTAAGGATTCTGAGCTTTAACTTAAGAGCATTGAGAAGCCACTGAAGGGTTCTGATCAGAAAGAGTAGATCCCCATTTTCAAAAGATCACTCTGGCTGCTGGGACAATGAAGGGTACAAGAGTGAGGACAAGTTACGCAGTAATCTGCGGAGAGAGATGACAGCTTGGACTAGGGTGGTAGCAATGGAAATGAAAAAAAATAGATTTGCAATATGGTCAGGAGCAGAACAGCCAGGACTTGGTGACTAGTTGAGAGAAGGAAAAGAGTCAAATATTTTAATTGAATAATTGATAATTAGTTGTTTAACGTCTGCCTCCCTGTCTGAACCATGAGGACAGGGACCATGTCTTCTTTGGTTCCTTGCTGTATCACCAGCAGAGGACCAGGTATCAGTACACACTCAATTAATGCTTATTGAACAGATGGATGGATGGATGGATGGATGGCCAAAGAGGCTGTCTGCTGGGCAGGTGGGGACTAGCTCACCTCTGGGCATCAGGTTGTGAGATGGCATTCACAATGGCCTCCACACTGCTGTCGAAGAGCTCTGAGTCCTGCAGAGCAGCGAAGGCAGCCTGAATGAGTGCCTCACAGTCCTGCAGCGGCACCTCCAGCTGCACCCAGCTGGAGAAACACTTGAGTACCTTCTGACGCACACAGCTGGGTGAACTGGGCTGCTGTAGCAGCTGCTCCAGCAGAGGGAAGACAGCCCCACATTCCACCGCCAGGCTGGTCCGCACCAGGCCTTTGCGGTATTGGGGTAGGCGGCTTGTCTGGAACTCCTCAGGTAGCACTGTCAGCAGCTCTAGCAGGGCTAGGCAGCGGCCCTGGCCATCTACTGGTGAGTCCTCAGCCTGGAAGAGTCGTACCATATCTGCCACAGCACATGGCCAAGCGTCAGGCATCATGCTGAGAGCCAGTGAGGCTAGTGCCACGCAGAGCCGAGTCAGTACAATCTTGGAGCCACTGGCAAAGCGGGTGATCTGGGTAAAGAGCTGTGCCTTTAGGCTTTCATACTGGTCAGTTGGGATGTCGCTCCAGTAGCGAGAGATCTTGATGTGAAGAGCACTGGCCCCAAAGTACTGGATCTCTGGCACCTTGTCGGGCTGCAGTAGCTGCCAGCTGAAGTGCCAGGCCTGTGGGGAGACCTGGGCTTGCATCAGCCACTTCTGAGCCAGGTTCTTGTTTTCAATGTTGGGGTCATAGTAGAGCTGGTGCAGCGCCTGCAGGACAGCACAGGACTGAGCAGGTGCTGGCCACTCTGGATCCTGCCAGAGCCCAGAACAGAGGTGTGACTTGGTCCTGCAAGACTGCTCCCTCTCCCTGACTGGGGAGCTGAGCAGGGAGAGCTCAGGGCTCTTGCAGTGTTTCCTGGGCCTGGATCCTGCTGATATCTTGACAGCCTGAACCTTGCCCATGCTCTACCATATCCTCTTCTCCTTATAGCAAAACATTATGGGTTCAGAGGGAATCTCCACAGGAAAGCAAAAAAAAAAGAGAAGGCTGATCCCCCCCAAAGGGGAAGCACTTGAGGCCAAGGCCTAGGTGGAAGGAACAGCTTCATAGGGATGAAGCTAAACCTGAGAAGGGCATGGAACAGCTTGAGGGGACTTGACCTTCCCAGGCACAGCTGCTCCCATCAACTTAAACAGCTCCTTTCAGCTCCCCCAGGATCATCCCTAGGTCACTCCAGGTGCTGGCATCAAAGCCAGTGTGAAATCAGAGCAGGACTAAGACTTTTGCCAAGTAGCCCTGGGGCAGAGACATGCTGGAGTTGGGGGGGGAGTGAGAACACTCCTCAGAGGGCACATGTGAAGGTCCAATCAACTGATCCAGAGAAGCCTTGGCTATAGCTGCAGCCCTGGCAAACACCTGGCCTAGTGCTTTCCACTAGCACAGTCTCCAGGGCCTCAATTCCAATGGGACTTCATGAAGTAAGAAAACAGTGAGATTTATCTCCCGGTAGCACCTGGAACAGTGTGCCACCATGCCAACACTGCCCTGCTCCAAGAGGTGGGAGAGTGTGGCCAGGACCCTGACCCCTAAGCAGGCTCCATCCAAGTAGGCTTAGCTCTATTTGTACCCCTGACAGTCAGTTATGGCCACTGTCCCTTGTTTGGCATCCCTCAGGGATGCCAAAGCAGGCAGAAGAGATGCATCCTCATTGTTTGTTATGGCAAACAGGAGTCAAGAATAACAAGTGAGCATCTGCAATCATTCCCTGCTTTCAAGTAAGGGAGCCCCATCTTCCCATTCATCCCAGGGTGCATGCATTGCTGCATTCCAGGTTATGGGGAGCAGATACAGAAAAGAACAAAATAGGCAGTTCAGAAAGATGGTCTGGGCAGTGGGGGAGCTTGGGAGGGCCATGGCAGGGAGCTGTGTGGGCAGGTGAGTAGGAAGGAGCCCTGTAAGGCTGCCAGCAGGGCCAGGACCCTTGGACTCAGCACAAAACAAAAGGAGACAGCCCCACACCTGCCTGCTCAGGACTGGTCTGGCTTCCATCCAATAAAGGAAGGACCCTTCTCCAAAGAGTAGAAACAACCCAGATTGTTTTAGTTCCAGATTATTTCCTGAGCCCTTGGCTCAATAAAACCAGGTCCAGGATGGTTTGGCATCAGTATAATTCCAGAAGACTGAGCTGCAGGTCTCCTGGGTTCCCAGTTTCCTACTGCACTGCTCATGCAGTTCCCATGGAGCTGGAAAATAGCCAGTCTGGCTGGAAGGCTAAGTCATAAGCTCCCTGAAGGGACCATCCCAAGACCCTGGAGTATCTGTCCACAGGGGACCTGCCTGTAAGGAAAGACAAAAATAGCCCATTAGGGCACTGCAATACTGCCTGCCCAGAAAGACAGCAAATGCCAGGTGCTGTGGGGGCACCATACCAGCGGGCAGCCAGCCCAGGCCTGCGTGCTGGCATTAGTGACAGTCCCCAGAACTTCTGCTCTGTCACTGGAGTGCCCACCCCAGAGCCCTCATACCTTCTCCACGTTCTCCACAGTGAAGTCCAAGGCTGATGCTCCTCCAGCCCCTGCAGCCCCCGACTGCTCCTCCCGCCGCTCCATCTTTGCTCCCTCCCTGGCAGGGAGGTGGGCCCTGATCTGCCTCCTGCCCCAGCCCCTTGGCTGCTGGCCCCCTGCTAGACCCCGGCTTGGGTGTCCAGGGAGTGGTGGGGTGAGGGGGAGCCCAGGGCGGGCATGGCTGCCGAGGCCTCCCCACCTCGTCTGAGGGTGAGGGGCTTGCCAGAGACCAAAAAGGGTGCTCTTAAGGAATCCACTGAGGGGGAGTCCGAGGAGGGGGCCGTCAGTGAGGAGCTCTCAGGCGGGGATCCTAGAGGTAGGTCACAGCTCTGTCCCCACAATCTGTGTGGAGGAAGTCAGAGGGGAGGGAAGACTGCGGGGAAAACCGAGCCCCTAGATCTTGAGAGGTCACAGGGTCGATGGCCTGTACCCACAACACCCCCGCCTGGGTGAGCTCTCGGGTGCTATGAAGAGGTCACGGGGCTGGAGGGTCACCGGGGAGAGAGCCCTTCGTGGTTACAGAGGCGTCTAACGAAGCGCGGAGGTGCAGCTTCGCGAGTCTGGGGCGAAGAGTCCGTGGAGTTGAGGGGGCTGTGGCAGGTCTTTCCGTTCGGCCTGGCCCGCGCTGTGCTCACCGCCCTGCTCCAGCCCAGTTACCGCCGCTGCCTCCGCCCCAGTGACTGACAGACAAGCCAGCCCGGCCGGGACAGGGCAGGGACCTCGTCAAGGCGCGGGCTGCCCCGAGCGCCTGTCCCCGGTACCGCCAACTCAGGCCCCCACTGCCACCTGTCCTGGCTTGGCCCGGCCCGGCACAGCCCGGCACGGCCCAGCGGAACTGCGCGGAAACTCATTCCGGGTCCTTGGCCCTGTCCTCGAGCCAGCCCGCGCGCCCCCGAGCAGGCGGTGGAGCGGCGCGCCGCCCCAGGCCCCCGCCGAGTCTAGGCCCCGCCGCTGTGCACCCTGGGAAATGTAGTCCATGTTGCGCCTAGCCGGAAGGCGGCGCCCTGTGGAGGAGGCCCGGAGCACGTGGGTTGGGGACCTGCGGATCCCTGCCTGTCCTCGGCCTACCGCGACCAGCAGGCACTCCAGGTCAGACCGGTGCGGGGCGCTGCGGCCCAGTTCCCTAGTAGGAGGACGTGACTCGAGGAACCCGAGGACGGAGCGGGGAGTCCTGGCTAGAGGGTGGGGACTAGGGAGGTTGCCTGGTCACTGTGGCACTCCGCTGCGGTGCATCCTCCGGCCCAGCAAAGGTGCAGTCTGGGAAGAAGGCGTCAGTATCACCCAAAGGAGAGGAGAGGGGACTTGGCACGCCTCAGGAAGAAAAAAGGGAAGACTCTCAGGACCACCAAATAAGCAACCGGGAAACCACGTACCATGGACAGTGCTCGGGGAATTTAGTAAGGTTTTTTGGAGGTAACTTTATGTGTAACTAGAATAAGAGTAGCTTACATTTAAGTGCCAGGAGCAGGACTTTGCATACTTCAGGTTCAATTTTCTTAACAGCTCTGAAGTGGGTATTTTTATTCATTTTCAGATGAGATGAGGAAGTCAAGCTTGGGGAAAGTTAGGCTTATCTTGCCCCTGGCACACAGACAGGGTGGCAGACCCTGCCATAGATCTGGTCTGCCACAGGCCCCGGCAGCTCCTGCCTCTCACCCCTCCAGTTGTCTTTTTATTAACTCCTGCCAGCTACTCTAGCAGGGAAGAGGAAAAAAATTAAAAGTGCAAAGAGCTCTGTAGTTGGGTTCAAATGGAGGAAGCCGGCGTTGGCAGTAGCTGCTGAGGCCTGAGAAGGTACACGAAGGCTTCCCTGAGAAGAGAAACTTGAAAAAACTGAGCTTGAAGATTAGAGAGCCTGGGGAGGAGAGGGGCTCATTTAGCTGGTAAGCAAAATCCAGTGGGACTCTAAGTCATTCAGCAAATCTTCATCAAGAAAGAATAGCAAGTAATTCATGTTTAGTTTAAGGGGATATATGTGGGGTGGGGAAGGGAAAGGGTATGAGTAACAGAGATGAGGTTGGGAAGACAAGTTGGTAGCAATAGATTCTTGTAGGAGTTTGGACATTATCCTAAGTGCAGTATGAAACCATGATGGGGTTTCAAGTGAGCAATGATGATTACATTTGCATTTTAGAAAAATATATCTGCAATATGAAAGACAAATTGAAGGAAGAAACAGAGGCAGGAGACATTTGGAGGGAGGAAAAGGAAAGCCAAAATAAAGTAACTGATTCCAGGCCTGTGCCTAGGGTGTGAAATACCTTGAGCCTGGTGCTGGCTGGGGGTTTCGCTGGTGGAGGTGGCGGTGTGCAGGGGAGATGGTGTTGGGAGTGGGTTTAAGTGCACAAATTCCAGACTTAGTCCTGGGTTCAAAACCTGTTTATGCCTTTTTCTAGCTATGAGGCCTTGGCTTCTTCTGAAACTCATTTTAGTTAAGGGGGTGTTGGGGGTGGGGGGCTCAGCCCAGAGACCACAACTTAGTCAGTATGTGTTTTCTTCCTGCTTCCCATCCAGGGCTCCGCCTTACTCCTGGGGGTTCCAGGGATCTGGCAGAGAAAGAAGCCCAGATTCACCAGTGATGGCTCCCGAACATCCTTTGCAAATACTACTTAGGACAGATGGACTGAAGTAGGCCCTGGGGAGAGTTGGGAGCATTTCCGGAAGCCAGACAACCCAAATCTCCAGGAAATTTGGATGTTAGTGCAGGATAGCTTAGAGCCAAGTTGGGAATAAGTGTTTGGGAACCAGTTACAGAGGGCTCTTCTCTAAGGAACAAGTGTAGACCTATAGGGGCCAGAACCTGTGGCAACCCTGGGAGGGGTCTGCAGATTGAGGAGGGAACATCCCAAAGCCCAGCAAACGGGGAGAGGGAGGTTTTATTGGTCACCTGGAACCACTACCAATTCATGTTTATGTCAAATTAAGTGATCACTTTAAAGTTTTTCAGCCTACCAAAATCATGTAAATTTGGTCTTCAAAATCAGACGAAGGCCTGCTTATAGTTAAGAATTCTCAGGGGGAGGCCGGGCGTGTAATCCCAGCACTTTGGGAGGCCAAGGCAGGCGGATCATGAGGTCAAGAGTTCGAGATCAGCTTGGCCAACATGGTGAAACCCCATCTCTACAAAAAATATAAAAATTAGCCAGGCATGGTGGTGGGCACCTGTAGTCCTGGCTACTTGGGAGGCTGAAGCAAGCAGGAGAATCACTTGAACCCAGAAAGTGATTACAGTGAGCTGATATTGTGCCACTGCACTCTAGCCTGGGTGACAGAACAAGATTCCATTTCAGAAAAAAAAAAAAGGAAGAATTCTCAGAGGGAGACTGTTCCCCCTTCTTAGCACCAAGGTTGGATGCAGGCAGTTTTCTTTGTAGTCCCCTGGTTTGAGGGAGAAAGGTTAGGTCAGACAGGGGCAGGTTTCTTAATTCACCCTCACAGTGTTGGCATATACTGGCCTTTGAGGTCCTAGCTTGATGGAGAAGTTTCTAAATCGACTCCCCATGGTGAGGCGGCCCTAGGCTTTTTCTTCTTTCTCATAAGCTCAGGGACCCCTTGAAAACCAATGATCGATCAGGTTCAGTAGGTTCAGCAACTGCCTTCAAGATGAAAGCCAGTGATAGAGCTTTGCTCACCATTATAGCTCCTAACTTTCATGCAGTTTTTTGGCCTCAATGTGTTTCTTATGTTTTTGCCAGCTTGTGGATGCACTTAATTTTAAAGATAGATAGATAGAGTCTAGTATTTAAAGTTGTTTTCAGCAGGAAGTTTAGCCCAAGTCCTTAGGCTACCACGTTGCAAGAAAACCTAATGGGCAGTTTTTGGTTCTTATACAGCTTGATTTTGTGCTGCATCTGGCCCTGTTGGCCACTCCCTCCAGTTCTTCTGCTTTGTCTTGTTTTTCCCAACACTCTGACCACTCCTTTTTGGTTTCCTGCACTGGCCTGCCCCTCTTCCTCCACCTGTTCCTTAAATGTTGGTTCTCCTTAGTCTCTGCTTCTTGTCTTATGCCTCATTATCTCACCACTCCCCTGGCTTCAAGCTGTGGCTCCTTGGATTTCTCCAGCCCAGACTGTCCTGAGTTTCCAACCCACATATTCAGCTGCCCCCTCGCCCTCTGAAGTTGCCGCAGGCCCCTGAAGTTGAACACATACAAAACTGAATTCACATTTTCCCCACATCTTACCCCTATCACATGCAAAAATGCTACATCCCCCGTGTTCCTTACCACTACTCCAAGCCAGACGCCTGGAAACCATCTCTCATCAAGCCCTCACATCTCTTATTGTGTCTCACATCTCTCCTGTCCTTGCACATTGCTTCTGCCCTAACTCAAGGTACCTGTGTTTGTTGCATGAATAGCTCTAACGATGGCAGCTCTAGCTAGCTCCCACCTTGCCTCTTCCATCCGTACTCGACACAGTAGCCAGTGATCCATCTGAAATACATCTCTAACCAAGCCCACTTAAAACCCTTCAGTCAGCCAGGTGTGGTGGCTCACACCTGTAATCCCAGCACTTTGGGAGACCAAGGCGGGCAGATCATGAGGTCAGGAGTTCAAGTACAGCCTAACAAACATGGTAAAACCCCATCTCTACTAAAAATAAAAAAAAATTAACTAGGCATGGTGGCATGCATCTGTAATCCCAGCTGCTCAGGAGGCTGAGGCAGGAGAATCACTTGAACCCGGGAGGTGGAGGTTGCAGTGAGCCAAGATCACACCACTGTACTTCAGCCTAGGTGAAAGAGCAAGACTCTGTCTCAAAAAAAAAAAAAAAAAGAAACCCTCAGTGGCTCCTTTCAGAGTAAAGGCCCAGCTCCTCAGTATAACATTCAAAGCCCTTTGTGATCCCTTCAGCCTTTTGTCTTGTTGAGGACCCTCCCCAAGTCTACCTGAAATTGCTGGCAATCCTGGGAACACACCAGGCTGTTTCCCACTTTCCCTGTCATTGTTCCTGCTACTTCCTCTGTTGAGAAGGCTCTGTGTCATTCTGGATGCCATCAAGAGAGAGACACCACACAGTCAGCACACAGGGGAAGTTTAATAGAAGAATTGTGAAATGTGACAGGTAATTGAAGCCATGATGAACTAGCTAGTAAGAAGTGAAAAAACATCTAAAGAATATAGGAGTAGCAGAGTCTTCAGGCTGAGATGAAGAACCCAAGGAAGAGGCCCTCACCTCTGCATTCCTGTCCAGGGCTGAGAACCACCATGCAGGACAGGACATGGCCACAACGAATTCCTGAGCTCTAGCCATCCACCCTTCTCAGCCTTCCAAAGTGCTGGGATTATAGGCGTAAGCCACCATGCCCAGCCAAATTTTTGGTATAAGTGTGTCCCAATTATTGCATTGGACATACTGGAAACAAGTATTTAGGCCAAGCATGGTGACTCGCACCTGTAATCTGAGCACTTTGGGAGGCCAAAGTGGGAGGATTGCTTGAACTCTGGAGTTCATGACCAGCCAGAGTAACATAGCAAGACCCTGTCTCTACCAAAAAAATAAAAAAATTAGCCAGACATGGTAGCATGCACCTGCGGTCTTAGCTAGTTGGGAGGATCGCTTGACCCCAGGAGGTGGAGGTTGCAGCGAACCAAGATCGCACCACTGCACTCCAGCCCGAGGGACAGAGCAAGACCCTATCTCAAAAAAAAAGTGTATTTATTTATCTGAAATCCGAATTTAACCAGATGCCTTTTACTTTTATTTGCTCCCCTACTCCTGTTTCCACCTCCAAGTATAGTTTCCTTGATGGCAAAACATGTTTCTCACTGGTCTCTGAATTCCTGAAACTAGCCCAATGCATGATAGTTCATGCTCAGTTACTGTCAAGAGGATGGAACTTCTCTGGCTGCAGGGCTGAGAATGATTAGAGGGAGTTGTGACGGGAGTCAATGAGACCAGGTAGGAGGATGAGCAATAAACCATCCAAAAAATTGGTTGGATGCAGTGGCTCATGCCTGTAATCCCAGCGCTTTGGGAGGCTGAGGCAGGCGGATCACAAGTTCAAGAGATCAAGACCATCAACATGGTCAACATGGTGAAACGCCGTCTCTACTAAAAATACAAAACTTAGCTGGGCATGATGGCGTGCCCCTGTAATCCCTGCTACTTGGGAGGCTGAGGTAGGAGAATCGTTTGAACCCTCAAGGCAGAGGTTTTAGTGAGCCAAGATCGTACCACTGCACTCCAGCTTGGCGACAGAGTGAGATTGTCTCAAAAAAAAAAAAAAAAATCTGAAGACTTCAGCAGAATAGCAGTGGGGATAGGGAAAGGGGATGAATCTGCAGGATCTAAGGATTTGGTGACCAATGCTTAAGGGACATAACCACTTAAGGAGTCTAGGAGGTTGCCCAAGGTTCTGGCAGTGTCTGCATGAGGTTGGTGTATTCACTGAGCAGGGAACACTGGGGAGAGTGTGGAAGCTGGACAGCGGGGAAGCTCATTGATGTGAGGAGCAGAGCAGGCTGAAGGGTGGAGAGTGGATGTGAAGGAGCAAACAGAAGACACCCAGTACACAGATGTTAAGCTTGAGGTCTCCAAGGATATAGAGATAGAGGTACTGGAATTACAGACTTGGGACTCAGGTGAATGTTCTAAGCTGGGATAAAATGTGAGCATGGTCAGCTTGGAGGTGATAACTGAAGCCATGGGAGTAGACAGTGCTGCTCAGGGACAGAGTAGAATGGGAAGAGGAGAGACAGCTGATACCAGAGCTTTGAGGAACATGAGAGGCAGAGAGAGGAAAAGGAACTCAAAAATCACCTGAGAACAAGCCTCTGGAGGAGTGGAAGGAAAACACGGAGAGGATGGGATCACGAGTCGAAGGAAGACAGGTTTTCAAGGAGCACTGACACTGTCAAATGCTTCTGAGAGTTCAAAGGACCAAATGGCCTTTGACTTTAGTAGTGACCAGAGTCACCTGTGGCCCCAGGAGCTACAATGAGCCACCTGGTGACAGGTTATAGCCACTATGTGGTAAACAGAGGTGCAGCTCTGCAGCCCATTTCCTTTGGGGTAAACAACCTTTTCTTGCTTGCTTCTTGCTTTTTCTCCCTCCTTCCATCCTTCCTTATTTTCTTCTCTCTCTCTTCTTTCTTTCTTTCCTTCTTGCTTTTTTTTCTCTCTCTCTCTTTCTTTCTTTCTATCTTTCTTTCTCAGAGTCTGGCTCTTGTTGCCCAGGCTGAAGTGCAATGGCATGATGATGCCTCACCACAACCTCCGCCTCCCAGGTTCAACCGATTCTCCTGTCTCAGCCTCCTGAGTGCTGGGATTACAGACATGTGCCACCACGCCTGGCTAATTTGGGATTTTTAGTAGAGATAGAGTTTCTCCACATTGGTAAGGCTAGGCTCGAACTCCCAACTTCAGGGGATCCGCCCACCTTGGCCTCCCAAAGTGCTGGGATTACAGGTGTGAGCCACCCGCCCAGCCTTCTCTTTCTTTCTTCCCTCCTTCCTTCCTCCCCTCCCTCCCTCCCTCCCTCCCTCCCTCTCTTTCTTCCTTTTGATTTGGGTTGTCCTGAGTTGCAAACGGAGGCTAGTTCATGTGGGAATGTGTTCTTGGGGCTGTTGCTGTTTTGCCGGGGACTCTTGAGATGTTGAGCACAAGCTGTCTGGGGCCCAGAATGCAGCCTCCAGCTGGATGGGCCCTATTCCCTCAACGACTGGCAACCTGGGAAGGGTCAGCAGCCAGCACCTTTGGCTTGGGCTGTGTCCCTCCCACTGTGGGCATTGTCAGAGATGGCTTCAGTCGGTCTCCTTTACCTGATTCTGAGAGCAGCCATATCGACTGAGTAGCAGGGTTTGGGGACTAGGCGAGGCTTTAAAGTCTCGCCAGCAGGGGGCTGCCTGGCCCCAATAACCCTGGAATTGACAGAATGTCCTTGCTGCAGGCAGCCCTCTGTAACCTGTATGGCCCTGGGGCCATTTTCTTTGCAGGAGGGAAGGTGGAACTGAGGATCCTGAATCCATTTGGAGGCAGAGAGGGGCCAACAGGGTGTCTGAAGGGAGCAAAGGCATCGAAGTTTTGGGAGCACCTCGAAGTGGGGCAGTGAATGCAGATGAGTGGAAGCACACACACACGTTTCTCCTCCTTGACCCGGAATGAGACAGCCTTCAGAGAGCTCTTGCCAGCTCCTCACTCTAGCCTGGGTGAAGGGGGCACCTGTGCCAAAGCAGGCAGGCACACAGGCAGATTGGAAGGAATTTCTGTCTGCAGCGTTACATGCCTGAGGGATCCCGCCCTCAGCCCTCTCTGTCTCTCATGGTACTCTCATCCACCCCACCCCCCCCCACCCCCGCTGCAGCTCCTGCCTCTGTGCTGACAGCTCTGTCAGTCCAGCCCAGACCTCCCCTGGCAGTTCCAGACCAGCCGATCCCACTGCCTCCTGACAGCCACTCTGGATGTCCCACCGTTCCTCAGACTTGGCACCCTTTCCAAATCCACGCCCCCATCTCATTTCCAAGGAAGAAAAATCATAGAGGCCTCCCCAGTACAAATGCAGACGTGGGAAACAAGGTTTCAAAGGATCTCCAGAAAAGCTCAAGGATAGCACTGGCCTTTTGGAGGTGGCTTGGGGTGGTGTGGGAGGCAAGGTCAGCACTAACTTTTCCTTTCTTCCCTACGAAGGTGTGGACTTCTTAGCTTCCTGTCCTTTTCATACCATTTGCCAAATTGAAGTTAAATAATTATTACTGTAATTGCTTATTTTTTGTCTGTCTTTCCCAGTTTAAGCTTCTCAAGGGCAGGGATCATGTCCGTTTTGCCTCTGTATCCTTGGCATCTGTCATATAATCAGTATCTGACATATAACAGGTGCTTAATAAATATTTGTTTGAATTAATGAATATCCTTGTTCATCACCCAAGATGCAGATCCTTCTGGGGCCCTTATCCTTTCCTGCTTCCTCGTCCCCATGGAGCTCCGTGCTTCATTCACCTTAACCGGGACCCGACCGCACCCTCTCCCAACCCACAGCTTTTTTTCAGATGCTCTCATGCCCTGGGCTGCTCCATGGAATGTGGGTAGTGAGTTAACCATGCTGGGCTGTCTCCAAGCAGAGGCATTCAAGGTACCTTCAAGACAATTCCCTGGATGGTAAGACACTGATCAATGACAGTGAGTTGGGGCAATGAGTGCTTCTCTGTGTCTTTACCCACTAAGCAGGGGCCTCAAAGATGCCAGCTGCTGGGTGGGGGCTGGAGATCCAGGCCAGGTCTGTGATTGCTGAATCAGCCTGAAGTGTGTAAGTGCAATCAGCAAGGCATGATCTCCCTCTAGCCTCTTCTTCCCAGCTCCCCACTGCCCAGGAAAGGATCTGACAAGCCACAGAAGTAAATAAATAACTTAGAAATAATAAATAGGGGGCCAGCTCCCACTAGTGCATACAGGCCGGCTCCAGCACAGACACTTTCAGCCAACCGACTGCAATGTCGCCTTCAAATGCTGTCCCCACAGGGCCTGGGTGGGAGCTGATGCTGCAGCCACTGTAGGGTTCATCAGAGGAGGTGTCCCAGGTTCGAGGCTTGGCCAGTGCTAGAGTCTGTGAGAAGTGGGTCCCAAGGTCTTCATAGCTGAGGTCTCTGGTGTCTTTTAGGCTGGGATCCGCAGGGTGAGGGTCCTCGGGCTGCTAGCCAGTTGTCCCTCCACCTCTCCAGGGATGCTGTCCATCATTCACCGGCAGGGGCATCTCAGCTCTGAGGCCTCTGTCCCTGGCTGAGGCCGCTGGCTCTGCGGGAGGGTCCCAGACAGGAAGAGCCACCGGTAGGGGTCCAGTCTGCAAAGCCCTGGAGAGAGCCCTCAGCCCAGGCAACCGCAGGCGGTGGCCGACAGGCGGTCCACGGTTCTCCAGGTGCTGTTGACGTCCATGAAGGAGACCGATTCGTAGCGCGTGGGTCGGCAGCAGGGCTGGCTGACAGGCCGGGAGCCCGGGGGCGGTCGCAGGGCCCCGGCGCCCAGGAGGCTGGCCAGGCTGAGGTCGTGCGGAGAGCGCGCGCGGCGGCAGGAGCCGCTGCAGAAGCGGAAACGCACCAGCTCGTCGGAGCGGTGGCCCAGGCCGAGCGCGTGCACCGGCACCAGCTGCGAGCGCAGGCGGCAGCCCCGCGCCCCCGCTGCCGGTGCGCGGCTGCCCCGGCCCCCAGCCCGCGCCGCGCGGCCCCCGCGGGGAGGAGCAGATGGTTGCGCGGGCGGCGGAGGCGCTGGCCGAGAAGGCTGCGGCAGCGGCCGCCGGGCTCTTCCACTGCACCAGCGGGCTGTGCGTCCCCCTGGAACGAGACCCAGTCACGTGCGGTGTCCCGGGCCAGCCCCGCCCCGCCCCCTCGCCCTCTCACCTACCCGGCAGGTGGCCGGCGGGGGGCGCCAGGACCGGCGCGGGGCCTTCGCGGGGGACGGGGCTGCGGGGCGCGGGGCCCAGGGAGGCCTCTGCGACGCTGCTCAGCAGAGCCAGAGCGGCCAGGGTTGGCCACAGGGCAGGCTGCGCGGAGAGACCAAGTGGAGCCTCAGGGAGAAAGAGGCTTGGGGAGGGAGAACCTCAGGGAGGGGCTGTCCTCGGGCTGAGATCAGGCCGGGGATGGGCTCCTAGCTGTGTAGAGGGGAGCTCAGGAAGGGCCTAGGTTCCGGTATAATGGGTTTGCTAGCTCGGGGACGAGGTGGGGGGAAGGAATCACCTGAGTGCCCCGACCATTCAGAGAAGTTCCGCTCCTCCTCCCATTCACCTGGTCCCTTCCTGACCATTTCCCCTCCCACATGTAACCGCGGCCCAAGCCAAACCCCACTCTCCCTCGCCAGTCGAGCTGCCTCTCTTCAGTACCAGCTGGGAGTCACTGGGAGAACCACTCACCTGCCACCTAGGCCAGGGGCAGTGGGACAGTGCAGAGAGGCCTCCAAGTCCAAGTTCCATCTCTATCAACACCAGGAGCGCCCATCAGCCTTTGTGGAGCTGTTCCCCCACCCTCCTCTTGAGGCAGCTTGCAAATTAAGAGATGGGTTATCTTTTGGGGGGCCATCCTGCCACCCCAGTTTCTCCAGGTGAGGAGCAAGGGGCCTGGACAGCTAGACTCAGCCCAGCAGAAGTAGCTGTGCTGGGAACCTTACTATGTGTTAGGTGCTTTGCAGCTATTCTTATACAACTCCAAGAGGTAAATGTTTAATCCCCTTTTTCCAGATGAGCAAACCAGGTTCAAAGAAGCTCAGAGGTAGTCTAAGGTCACAAGGTCACACAGCTGGAGAGGAGGGAGGGGTCCTCTTTTCCCAGAACCTTCCTGCTCTGTGCTGTAGGGCTGGAGATGCCAGAACTGGCTGGAGGGAGTCATAGCTGAACACAGTTGGTCCTACAGAGAGCCTTCACCCTAGGCTGCCAGGGAGAAAGCTGAGGCCTGGAGAAGAATAGGGTGCTAGCTGGTCACTCTGAGTTATCTAATGATAGTGAGCCCCAAGCCTCAACCTGCGCTGTCCACCCAGAGCTGCTTCCCCTTGCTCCTCTGTGAACTGTGTTCTGGATCCAGAGCCACTTGCGTTCTCTCCTCTGACCATAGGTGTCCCTCGATGACCACAGAGCCAGGGGATGGTGGGAGCGAATGGGCCCTCTGAAAACATGGGGCCTGGGCCATGGCTTCCTGTGGCCACCAGGGGGCAGAGTCTGCCAAGCCTGCAGATTCCAAGCAGGGTGGGCTTTTCCTTACCCTCAGCTACACTCAGGCCTGAGCCACTCCCAGGAGGGCCAGCCAGGCTTCCATGCCAGCCTGGTCTCTGAGAGCTGAGCCACCCTGAGAGGTGGTCTAGGTCTGCCCTCCCAGCCACTTGTGGGTCTAGCAGCCTAGTCATGCTCCTAGAAGGTTCCCCCTTGGGCCATCATCTCTGATCCCAGCCAGGCTTCCCAAGCCTCCACTGCTGGCATTTCCAAACACCCTTCTGGGGCCCCAGAGCCTTCCTCAGTCCTCATTAGCCAGCCTTCTCTTGGTCCCAGCTACCACCCCCGTCCCCATCCCCATCCCCATCCCCATCCTCTAGCACACAGAATGCTTGCACACCTGTGGGACAGACCCCCAGGCCTTCCTGGGGTGGTCCTCCAGGTCCTGGTGTGCACCTCTTGGCTAAATGGAATCAGGGCCTCTGGGCCAGGCCAGTGACTGTGCTCTGTGATGGCGGGAAAGGCCGGCAGGACAGCCGTAGGCGCCCTTTGCGCTAGGGGGAGCCCGGGAGCAGGTCTCTGGAGGGCCGCTGAGGCCCTCCTCTCCTCCCTCCTTGCCGTCTGGGGCCATTTGGTTCTCCAGCCCTTGCCTCCCCATCCACAGCCCGCTACTCACCACGGGGTCCTGGACCGTGTTCTTCTAGGCACCTTTCCTGGGATTAGTGCTGGGCTATCCCCCGAAGCTCAAACGGCTCATGCCCAGGACTGTGCACCTGGCAGTGCCTCTTTTAGCCAAAAGTGTGGTCTTGGCAGCCAGTCTGCGCCCTGTAGCGGCAGCGGGAGCCTCACATTACAGTGGGCCGGCAGGGCCAGCACAGTCCCAACAAGCGACAGGAGGGACTGAGGGGCTGGGAGGGGCGGAGAACTGTGCTGAGGGCCCAAGAGAGGGAGGATGCAAGAAGAGTGGAGGGGGGTGGTCCTGTCCACTCCCTCAGCCCAGGAGCGTCCATCCAGGGCTGGGACCGGGGACAGGCAAGTGGGCTGGCTTACCTCGGGTGTGGGGCTCCGGGCCCAGGTGGCAGAGAGGGCTGGGGCCCGAGGGACCTGCTGCTGGCGGAGCCCGCGGGCCTTGTCTGGGGGCCGGGCCCAACTCCATCCCTCTGCAGCCTCCTGCCCGCCGCCGCCGCCGCCATCCGGTGTCAAATTCCAGCCCCGGCGTAACCAGATCCCGGGGTGGGGCCGGGAGCGCCCCTGCCCCGCCCCACCTTTCGGGGCTCACCTGGCTGCTCCACCCGTCGGATCCAGTCCCCCCTGGCTTGGTTAGGTCCCCCAAGGTTGGGAGGCGGGTAGATGCTGGGAGGGGCCCCTCGGTGTGGAGAGTAGAGAACTCGGGCGGCGGAAAGGCACGGAAACAGGGAGTTGAGTTTGTAGACACGCAAAGTAGAGAGCTGGGAGGCCGGGCCGAGGGCGGGAGGGAGTGAGGGCGGGGAGCGACGGGAAGGCCTGGGAAGGCCGGTCCCTGTGTGGGGCAGCCGCCTGCTGGTGCGTACAGATTTGGGGGGCCTGGCTGTCTGCCCTGCAGCAGCTGCTCTCTGCTCCACCGGTTTCTTCTCTTCGCGGCCAGTTCACCTGCCTCATTGGGTTGCTGAGGTTCTGCGCAGAAGCTTTCAGCTCGGGTCTCCCCACAGCTCACCTCCCGTCTCCCGTGCTGCCTACGGCTTGGAGTACGGACACACTTGCAAACACGGGGGTCACTGGGGCACAGTAAGGGCAGTGTTGGTAGAAATGGGTACTGAGGGCTGAAGGCAGGGGTCACAGAGGAGGAACATCTGAGCTGAGGCTTGAAGTAGGGAGCCGGAGGGCAGCATTTCAGATATCTAATTATGGCAATTTGGCAGGTAGGGTGAGGACTGGGTGACGAACGCAGATGGAAAGAGCCTAACCCTGGGGACCACGGAAGGGTTTTGAGCAGAATGGTGTGATCACATAGGCATTTTTGTGGATGACTCTGGCTATAGTAAAGAGGATGGGTGAGAGAGAGGTGGAAATAGAGTTGGGAGGCTGCTGCGGAGAGAGGATGAGGTCTGATGCAGGGTGTGAGGGGAGCCTGGGGCTGCTTCTGGAACACGCAGTTTTGAAAATTCGCTGGTGTCTGGATAGGGTGAGGAGGTAGGTGGGCCCTATAAACGTGTGCCTTTGGCGGGGTGACTCGGGAGGGGCCATTCCGGCTCCTGGGAGGAAAGGCAGGGCTCACGAATTCAGGGTTGGACATGCTGAGTTGGAAGGGCCTGTGGATTATCCAAGTGGAAATGTTCTGGAAGCAGGTGAATTTGTAGCCTGGAGGAAAGCAGAGGGGGCTGGGCTGGCGAAGGCAATTTGGGAATTGTCAACCAACTGGCAACTGGAAGCTGTGGGCAGGGATGAGAGTACTGGGGGTGTATGGACCATCTACACCCTGGCTATGCATTAGAACCACTGGGGACCTGTAAAAACTACCCACATCCGGGCCCCACCCCAGACCTCAGACTCTCAGGGTGCACATGTGCGTTTTCAAATGGCACCGGTGATTCTGGTGCATGCCCAGGGCTCAGAGACCATAGAGAACTGCTGCTGCTGCTGGTGTTGGGGTTGCTGCAGGTGTGCCAGGAGCCCTGTGGGACAGGAGGCCAAGCGGGGAGCTGCTTGCTCTGTCACCTCCCACAGCTGGCTGCTCCGCCGGGGCACCTTCCTTGGGGCTTCTTCAGCCCGGGCTACCACTTACAGGCATGCAGCGTAAGCCCTGTACAACTCCATGGGGTGCCATCCAGACAGGAACGTCTGCAGGGTGGTGGCCCTATTTTCAGTAGAATTTGGAGGGCATTTCTGGGTTGACCTGTCCCTCAGTCAGGGCCTTCCTTACCCTCCAAGTCCAAGAGGCTTCTGTCTAAGGCCAGCCACAGTGGGAAGGGGCACGTGGGAGTCTGCTGGGCCCTGGGATGGCCAGGACTCCAGCCTCAGGGCTCACCAGTGGGAGGGCAGCCCAGGGCTGCCTGGACTCTTGGGTTGGGGTGGGCAGGAGAGAGGTGCAGAGGCCGGCCACCCCACTTACTACCTGCCGCAGCCGTAATGTCTTGACAGGAAGCTCATTTCACACTCTCAAGTGCAGGTGACAGTCTGTCCATTCTCAGGCCTGCCTAGGGATGCTGCGGAAGGAAGGGATCAGACTCTAGGACTCTTAAGAAGGTGAGGTGTGTGTGGGGGAGTGATATCTTTTCTAAAGTATGACAGAGGATGCCTAGAATGGGGCTGAAGGGAGAGGACGTGCCTCTGTTCTAACGATGGGGCCTGGGGCATGTTCTTCCCAGTGGGCTGGGAGTGTTGGGAGTAGGATAGGTCTGCGGGCCTCTGCCTGCTGCAGGGACTCGGCAGTACATCTTTCCTGTGCTTGTAGGAATAACTGTCATTGCAGAGGTGGGATTGTGGCAATCCTGGGGCAATGTCCTAGGGCTGCAGGCTCCAGTCCTATGCCTCTGCATCCTCTAAGAGTGTGCCCTGAAACCTCCTGTCTCAAAGAAAGAGGATCCCGGACTGCATGGGACAGGAGATGCTCGAGACCTCTGGGTGGCTATCTAGGCCCTGCATTAACACAGAAGTAAAGGGGACCCAGGACTCTGTGGGCTAGAGAGAGGGCCCGAGGGTTTGGTGTATTTGCTGAGGCTTTAGATTCCTGTTTCTTTCAGGAAAGTTAGAGAAGGCAAAAAGAGACCAGGCTCAGGGAAGAGCTTTATTGCTTCCACGAAGGTGGCCTGGGATGGCTGCCGCAGCCTGGGTAAGGTCCTTTGGCCTTACTTCCCTCTGGTCCAGGCTAAAGGCGGAACCCAATGACCTGGCAGTCTCGTCGCTGAAACCTAGAACATGTGGCAATTTGGCGAGTCCAGGCCTGGGGTAGTCCTATGGATCAGCTGCAGCGGTGGAGGGGAGCTCTTCCCAGCAGGCCGAGCCGGGCGTCACCCACCTGAGCTTTAAAGCTCTTTCTGCTGTAGCCCTGGGGTGGTCTTGTTGGCTCCGAAGGGATGGTTCCAGGGTTTCCCTATGGGACAGCTAGGGCTGGTGAGTGGGAATACCCCATCTTCTCCCCAAGAAAGGCCAAACAGTGTCATGAGCTGGTGGGGGCTGGCTTGAGATCCTGCCCACCACCCTGCAGCCCCAGAGGAGGGTACAGGCCGGTCATGGCACTCCTGCCCCACAGGGAGCTCACTGGTACCACTGCCTGATGGGCCCTCTAGTGGGCCTCTTCCTGCATGGCAAGTGGATCCAACTTGACATCTCCAACCTTATTTAAAAATAAATTATCCCCACCCTCCCCCCTTCCCAAATTCACAAAATGATAATACATCAAACACTGATTGGAGAAGTGGTTCCGGCAGCAGCCTTGCTGCCCAGTGTCCCACCGCCTGCGTGCTAGGCCTGCTGGGCACAGCCAGTAGCCTGCTGGCCCTCTGGCGTCAAGGACCCAGGCTGAGAGGGGCTGCGTGCTGGTCTCTGAGGCTGGCTGCTGAACAGACATAGCTCTGGCTGCTCCACCGAGGCCTCGCTGCCCCTGGGGCCCTGGCACTGTCCTTCTCTGGGTCTGAAGACTCCTGTTTAGGTGGCGCTGGCTGCTGCTTGCTCCTGGTGGTGCTTGGCCTCTATGGCCGTGTGCTGGGCCCACTCAGATGCCACTGCTTAGATCAGTGATGACACGAGCTTTCACCAGCTTCCGCAGAAACTCTTTCTCTCGCTGGATATTGTGCGTCCAGGACTGGAATGAAAGAGATGAAGTGATCAGTTGGGCCTTTGCTGAAACCTTTGTTTAGTGCCCCTTCCGGGTCTTGGTACACTTTTCCAGTCACCGCTCTCCAAAACTCTGTGACTGTGGTGATCTGAAGGCAGATACTGGGAATCAGTTGTGCCTACAAGGTAATGACCGTGCTCTAGGGGTGCTACAGCCCATCCTCCTCCCTTCCCGTGACGTTGAGAAAAGAACCTTCATAGCCCTTTCCTCGTCCCAGGAAAACCGTTAAGCTTCCCAACCTCCCTCCTCGGCATGAGCGGAAGGACCTTGTTCCCCCAGACTTCAAGCCACTTCTTGTCAGGAAGCACCAGGTTATAGATACCCTGCGGGCAGGCAATGTGAGTCACTCTAGTCCAAAAGCAATAGCTGGCTGAGTCACTCCCTGGCCTGATGCAATCTACTCTCCAGGCCTGGGAGCAGCGGATGAAACCCCGCCTCCCAGATCACAGGAGCCATGGGGCCTGCGGAGAAATGGCTTTTTTAAAAATTTAAAAATATTTTTTTAATTGAAATAATGATTGTATATATTTTTGGGGTAGAATGTGATGTTCCGATAGATGTATACATTGTGGAATAATTAAATTAAGCCAACCTCACCTACTTACCAATTTTTTATGGTGAGCACATTTGACTATATCTAATAATAATGTCCTGTATTTCAAAATTACTAGAAGAGGCTTCTGGGGAAGACTGTACCCAGGATGGGGTCCTTTACTAACCCCAGGACTCTCACCAGAAAACTTTGATAAAAAAGGCTTGATTGAATGAAGGGGTGAGTGACAACAGCCTTATCAGAGTTTGTCCCCGAGTGGCCTCTCTGTTGCGTTTGTCAGCAATGAGCTTCACCGTAACTGATTTTTTTTTTTTTTTTTTGAGATGGAGTTTTGCTCTTGCTCGGGCTGGAATGAAGTGGCATGATCTCAGCTCACTGCAACCTCTGCCTCCCGGGTTTAAGTGATTCTCCTGCCTCAGCCTCCCAAGTAGCTGGGATTACAGGCATGCGCCACCACGCCTGGCTAATTTTATATTTTTAGTAAGAGACAGGGTTTCACCATGTTGGCCAGGCTGGTTTCCAACTCCTGACCCTCAGGTGATCCACCCGCCTCAGCCTCCCAAAGTGCTGGGATTACCTGCATGAGCTACCATGCCCAGCCCACCATAACTGTTCACAGCCACTATTTACCGGTGCTGAGAAGTGAGCTGGGTGCAGTGGCCTGTGCCTGTAGTCCCAGCTACTTGGGAGGCTGAGGCGGGAGGATCACTTGAACTTAGTCCACCTGGGCAACATATCCAGACCCCATCTTCTGAAAAATAATAAATAAATGAATTTTTTTAAAAAAACCTATGGCTCTGTCTAGCCCTTATTCTGAGCCAGTCAACCCTCTCCACCTTCCAGATCTTTTACATCTGGAACTCAGGTGGTCATCAGCCACACTCCCAATTGGCATTCCTCTTCTCAGAGCACCCCCTTCGACCTCTGTGCTAACCACAAACCCAGCCGCCTTGAAGGACAGTGTCCCCAGACTCCCTCTCAAGTGGTGCCTGTTTCTTCCTTCACATTCCACACTCTACAGCCTCTGAAGGCGGGAAGGGTTTCCTCACACCCCGTTGTCCCTCCAGACTCCCTAACGCTCTCCAGCCCCTCCAAGGCTCCTGTCATTCTACTCTGCCATCTGTACTTGCCCCTCCTCATTGCGGATCCCTGGACAACTCATCCCCATTTTTTGAAGATGTAAGCATCTGCCTCATTGTCTCTCTTTGAAAGAGTAGGGGCTGTTAGGCACAGAGTAGGTGCCTCAATATTTGTTGAATGAAATTAGGTTTTATAGATGAGAAAACAGAGGCGTGGAGGAATGACAGGGCCACGGTTTGAGTAGATGTGGAAACTGGTTAGCCTCTTTCTTATCCCTCATTCTCAACACTCCTCTGGAGAAGCAGTAACCAATTTGATGGGTCAGGGTCAACAGTACACCCTGGGAGTCACTGAGGGTTAAAAGGTCAGCAGAGGACTGGATATTTGATATTAAGGAATCACTGTTAATGTTTTTAGGTGTGATAATTTTAAAAAAAAAGTTGTTGTTTTTTTTTTGTTTGTTTGTTTGTTTTTTTCTGAGACGGAGTTTCACTCTTGTTGCCCAGGCTGGGGTGCAATGGTGCGATCTTGGCTCACTGCAACCAGTGCCACCTGGGTTTAAGCAATTCTCCTGCCTGAGCCTCCCAAGTAGCTGGGATTACAGGCACCCGCCACCACGCCTGACTCATTTTTTTGTATTTTTAGTAGAGACGGGGTTTTACCATGTTGGCCAGGCTCGTCTCGAACTCCTGATCTCAGGTGATCTGCCTGCCTCGGCCTCCCAAAGTGCTGGGATTACAGGCATGAGCCACCGCGCCTGGGATGAATGAAGTATTTATGGCTGGAAGGGTATATGGTATCTGAGACTTGTTTGAATCAGTGGAGTGGCAGCATGAGACAAAGAGATAGAACAATATTGGTTGCATGTTGATGCCTGTGGAAGGTGGGGGCAGGAACGTGGGTGTTCATGATATCCTCTGTACTTGCCAATTTCCATCATAAAAAGTAAACAAGAAAGCCGGCCCTGGGGTGTAGCTCTCTTGGATCAGGCAATGCCACCTCTCTGGTACTCTTTTCCTAATTCTGCTGTGTATGCAGACAACTTCTGAGTTCACGAGAGCCCTGAACTGGCCATGGCTGGTGCAGGATTCTGGTCACCTGGAATCAGGATCATGGTCTCCAGCCTTACCAGGACCCTTGATTCTGAGCATGGATGCCCATCCAGTGTCACAGTCCTCACTCTCAGAAGCTCTTTTTCTTTGGCTCCTCTTTCGTCATCCCACATTTAGTATTGGTGTTCAAGGGTCCTGCCAGGACGAGATGCACTTCTCACTCTCTGTGAAATCTCATCCTTACATCTGAAAAAGAGCTGTGCTCACAGCTCACATATCTATACTTCCAGCCTGGACCTCAGTGCTGTGTGACAGATTCCTGTACGAAGCCACACCATCCTCCAGCTGCTGCCCACTCTCTCCTCCCTTCTCCTCCAAGCGTCCTGAGAGATGCCTTGCCATGAGCAACATCTGTGTTCTCTAGGGTGCCTTCTAATTACTATTCACTACTGCAGTCTGGCATCTACTCCATGACTCCTTTGAAACTGTTCTCACCACAGTCAGCAGTAACTCTAACAGCTAAATCCAACGGCCACCCCTCAGCACTCATCTTACTGGGTTTCCCAGCAGCACCATGCTGTGGATACTCTTCCTGGAACACTGCTCCTTCGTCTTCCATGATGTGGCACCTCCCCGATTCCTCCGTCTCCTTTATGAATTCCCCTGACATCTCTTACATATCCCAGGCATTCAGCCCTCGGTCCATGTGTCTCCACATCCCACACACCCCTCCTGGGCCTGCAGAGTGAGCTGATCAAGGCAAGTGCAGCTGAAGCGAGGCGAAGCCAAGGTGCTGAATGGTCCACGTGAGACACCCCAGGTAACAGAGGGATTCCAAACCCAGGCACCAACTTTCTCAGTGAATCCTCATCTGGGGGTTGGTAAGTAACAGTGGCAAGTAGGGGTAAAACAGTAATCATAATGGCTAAGATTTCTGAGTGCTTACTATGTGCCAGGTCTTTTTTTTTTTTTTTTTAACACATTATCACATCTGGTCCTTTCCAAACCCCAGGAGCAGGTGCTGTTATTATTCCTTCCACTGATAAGGAAATGAAGGTCTAGAGTCAGGCACTGTACTGAAGTCCCCAAGTCATCTTTTTTGATTTGAGAAGCTACACTCTTTTTTTTGAGACAGAAGCTTGTTCTGTCACCCAGGCTGGAGTACAGTGGCGGGATCTCGGCTCACTGCAGCCTCTACCTCCCAGGTTCAAGCAATTCTTCTGCTTCAGCCTCCCAAGTAACTGGGATTACAGGCACACACCACCACGCCCAGCTGATTTTTCTATTTTTTAGTAGAGACGGGGTTTTACCATGTTGGCAGGACTGGTCTCCAACTCCTGACCTCAGGTGATCCGCCTGCCTCGACTTCCCAAAGTGCTGGGTTACAGGCATGAGCTACGGTGCCCGGCCAAGAAGCTACACTCTTTTCATGGAGTGTGGTGCAGCAGATGCCGAGAGCCTCAGAGCCAGTGAGGTTTTGCATGTAATGGAGGGACAATGGCCTGAAAACAGAGACATGGCAGGTGGAAGCAAAGGAACAGATTCCATCAGAGAGGGCTGCAGTCTCCTACCTCATCCTGCACCAAGGCAGTTCCCAGGTCCTACTGAGTTGAAATCCTATTTCTTGCCTCTGTCTCATCGCCTTATACTTCCAGCCTGGACTTCCTGCCTCTGTCTCATCGCCTTAGCCAAAGATCGGGATCATCACCTCTCTCATCACCTCTCCCCTCATTGTCTCAGCCAAAGATCTGATTCAGGAGTCACCATCTCTTGCCCAGAGTGCAACAACTTCCAGCTAGGTTCTGTTCCTGCTTCGCCCTCTCTCCTTCATTCTGTGGCCATAGTGACCTACTACATGCTAACGTAAGGTCTCAAACTCACCCACAGCTCCACACTGTCTTCTAAATAAAGTCCAAACTCCTTCTGTGGCATAGAAAGCCCATTAGAATCTGCCCATCGCCCATGTCTACGGCTCGCACCCTCTGCATAAAACTTTACATAAAAGGAATTTATAAAAGACCGAAGATATAAGTAAACAAGCCAGGAGGCTGATAAAAGCTATGAGAGCAATCGAGTGGGTGCTGGCTGGGGACAAAGCAGCAAGAAGGCATGTGAAAAGAGGCAGGATGGAAGACTCTCGGGGCCACGGGGATGGTGAGGCAGTTCTAGAACTGTCCCAGACCCAGAATGGCATCTCCTGAACCCTAAGCCAGATAACAGGAGGCCGAGCTGGAAGGCTGTTTCTAGCTTCCTCTGAGATTTCCAAATCCCCTGCATATCCT